CACTCGACCTGACCGGAAAAAACCGTAGCAGGAAGCTAGCGAAGTCGTAGTATATATCGTCACAAACAGAACTGCCCGGTAAAACCGTAGGCAGAGAGAGAGAAGAGGACAACAAACGAGGGGTTGTGACAAACTGTTTCGTCGGAGTTTCACCGACTCATCAGGAGGCAAATATACTACGAAGACTGATGGCGAGGCTGTATACTACCCCGTAGGGTTAGATTTGTAATTTCGTTTGACTCGGGCGTAACCGTGAGATCAACCTGTGAGGAAAATTTGTGAGGGTCACATCTGTAAATATGTGAAATATAGGCCCAACATTATTTCGAATTTCCTATACGTACACTTACTGCGAATAGCAGGCCCGGACAACCCCCAGGACAGACAGGCCCTAATGGCCAGAGCTGATGGACGGTCCTATAGCCTATAGTCGGGTCCGGTAGAGGCCGAGAGGGCGAAACTGCAACGGTATTGGTCGGTTAGTCAGTCCGGTCTACGTGTAGGTTAGAGTACTGTACTCTATTAGTAGAATGAGGGAAATCGATTGGGAACGAAGCGACTAACAAACTGTGTTATGATATTCGTTCGAGTTGGCTCATTATCATCATCATATCAATTGTGATTTTGCTGAGGTTCTTTATTGTGATTGTTTGTTGGGAGTCTGTCGGAGAGTGAGAGTCATTGTGTGACCTCCCCCATGTGTGCATGGTTGAATTCCGCTGCTTATTCTTGTCTTGTGCGTCATTGACTCTGTCACCTCCCCCCCTCTTGTTATGCATGTGTGGGCGTGTTTTATATTGTATGGGTGGTTAGGTGTTTTCAAAAACAAAATCGTCTCCCCCTGTTCTTATGCATGTGTGACCGTGTTTGAGAATGTATGTGTGTGAGCGCCGGAAAGAATCGTAAGACAACCAAGTGATATATGTATATATATATATATATATATATTTCTCACACATCTGATGGTATCTCATTTCTTGTGTTTGATTTTTTTTTTTTTTTCCTCTTCTGCGTATAGATATTATTGGACCAATGTCGAGTTACACATACATCCATACTTCACATACTTACGCACTTAGGCAACAGTTGGATCGCATATTATATAGCCGAACCAATTTTGATTTTCACGTTGATCCAATATTGAAATGACATCCAGTTGTAACAGTAAATGAATGAACTTGAGTGGCGAGAACGAGGATTAGGATCGCTCAGACTCCATTGTCAATGGTACAATGACATACAATTGCAAAGAGAAATAAATGAACTTCAAATGAGAGATCGAGGATTATAAGAAAAAGAAGATTATGTACAGCAGGGAAACCAAATTTTACATAATGCAATCCCTGCAAGTCACGACAATAGGTAAGTACTGGGCCTGATGGCCTGTCGAACAAGCACGGGTCGTTACGGGTCACACCAAAAGTAACCCCCACGCTTAAGTTTACGATCGCGCACACACACTCAAGGCAAACACACAGTCGGACTGACAAACGTACTCACACTGCAGGCAAACATACTCTCTCTCTCTCTC